CACACACACACACACAGCAAATTAGATTCCAGCATACTTTACTTGATGAAATATTCATGAATCTTTGAATTATATTCGAGAGGAACTTTTTTTTTCCCTCCCCTTACTCAGTGTATCTCTGTGGAGACAGCCTCATTCTGCAGTTTTATTGTAGCGTCTCATCAAATTATCAATCTAAATGTAAAGTGGACAGTATAGTACTAATGGCTTGTGGGAACTTATGGAAGTCTTAAACCTCATACAGCTGTTAAGTGCAGTTTTTCTACCCAGGATTAGTTTATTGGATGAATCAGAGGGCTTAATGGGTTCAACGTGTTTCACTGAGAAGACATTTTGATTAAGCACTATCACTTCTCCCCTAAGATCCAAACTATTTGAGATTGCGACAGCAGGCCTCCACGGCTGCATGTGTCGGTTTTACTTTAAACCTGAATGCATGATTTTTAAAGGCGCTGAGTTCATGGTAAGAAGTAGTCACAGTCTGCGTGATTCGCTTTCCTCTCCTGCATGTCTACTTATTGCTCTATGAGTGAGTGCAAAATTAAGAAGGATTCACAACGTGTCATTTGCTGCACGAAGAGAAGTAGCCTTTTCTCAGAGAACAATGGCTGATTATGAAGATCTCTCGAGTTTGTTGGAGGCTGATTGTGTCCTATAAATGGATAAAACATCACATGGTGCCTCGATACATCATGACATATGGGAAGGAGCGTTTGAGGACATACATATGTATCACAAATAATGCTAGAGATTCAATTCAAACTAAACCAAAATCTATCCAGAAGTCTCTCCCATATGTGTTAAATTCAGTGATTATCAGGCGCAGCTTTAAGCCATAGTTTAATCACATGTTCCACAATGTATCCCTTTTGATTGGGCTTTGACATCACTTCCAAAGTCATTAACTGAACCTAGAAGCAGATGGTTTATTAAGCATCCTCAGCACATGTGACTAAATGACGAACAGCTCAGACACAGTGAGCACATCCCTCATCCAGCACTGTAGCTACCACTGAGGTCACCGAGGTCGTGTCTGTGGTATATTTTCTGGGAATTTGAGGCTTTTTTTTGCAGCATGGGGGAGTTCACATTCGGCATTGATGGATATTTTATTGGCTGATTCCTGTACTGTTTTTAGACTTTAAACTCTGCCTCCACTCAAAAATATGTTCGGTTGTTTCTTCGTCGTGTTCCCTACAAGTTGAGTGTTTGAGCTTCACCCCTGCAGGATGAGTTGTGCAGAGTTTGACACTCACGAAGGAATGTTTTCACATCTCCTGACTGAAGAGTGGAAATTTCCTCTAAGATCACTGAAAATCTGATTTTGTAAGGGGCGGAGCGCTATGAGCATGAACTTGGACATAGCAATAGTTTTCGAAGTCAGTCCTGGTTCGAGTTTGTAAGAGTGTGTGAAACTTAACCCCAGCCACCAGTGACACAAACACCCCTGCCTCACGAATGCAACCATGCGAGCTTTAACAGTGAGAGTAAGGACACGCCACACTTGTGTCCCAGATTGCAACAAACTTTAGACAATTATTAGTATGGCCTCGATATACTTGCAACCTCTTCTCTAACCCGGTACCCGCCCGAAGGCGCTAGACCGCATTTTTTTAAGGACTTTAATTTTAAAATTCATACTCTTGTTATGTGGACACAAAACACATACCTCAGACCACATTAATTGTTCCAAGCCAGACAATTCATCACATGTCCTTTCAGATATACCCTCGTGGCAGGGGAATCTAATAAGACTAAGAGGATCGTAAGATTTTTGTGTGCAGATTTCATTTACACTGACGAAACCACGGGTATTTTCCAATCTAGGTGATTCTAATAATGCTGGAGATAAACCCCTGGCAAAATTTACAGTGTTTACTTTTTTAGCCTTTTCTCTTAAATAAGGCAATGGGAACAAACGCGCGATTGGAGTTGGATCGAAAAGTGCATGTCTGGTTATCTGCAGATGGTGAACGGTTGACGGATCATCCCCGGATTTACACACCGGGCATGGAGGACGTGGTTTTTGGAATTGAATACACGTGGAACGTCAGACTAAAGAGGTTTGTTACAAACCATCGGGGCCGGGTTGCAAACTTGACTTTACTCGGTCAGTGATTGTTATAGAGAGTCTGCCCTCAGTCATGAGCAGCAACGAAGACTGCGAAGGACGTAGTGCTCTCAAACCATGAAAATGGGTAAGCTGGGTAGGGTAACGTTCGCTGTCAACTGTTGAAGCAGATACGAGATTATTTGAACAGCCGGTCTGCTGAGCAAACTAATAATTATGGTCGAAGTATCGCTTGCAACCATCACGGCAACGTGATACGAGGATGAGGGAATGTAGATGGAACGACAGCACACGCCGGGGGCGGGCACAATCGCGTGCCGTCAGGGATCTCGCAACGGAATCGCAGGGCTAGACAGAGCCGCGAGTGGTCACGCTTGGAGACCCCTGCACCTCGGCAGGAGACGCCACTTAAACACCGGACACATCACTGCAAGTGGCAG